GACTCAATGGAAAGGCTAAAAAACGCTGGTCGAGATTCACTCACTGATGGATGTGACTTTGAGGGGTTCTTTGCTTAAGATTCACAAGTGTTTGTGTTTGCTTCTGTTGTCCACGCCAGGATGGCGCATTAAATTGGCAATTGATTGAATGCACAGCCCTGTTATGTAGTCTAAAACATAAATATTGTCTTGGGGCAAAATGCACTATATGTCAGTACTTGCCAATGCGATTTGAACACCAGGAGAGACATGAAGTGACATTCAGTTGTCGACAGACACAACATAGATGTCTTACAAACTACAGTATTCTAATTTGATTTTATACGTAATTAAGCTAACAAAGGAGGTTATGTTTGTTTCATGAGAAATGTACTAGTACCAGAGCAGCCCAATAGACTTGGTGGACCCAAACAATCACTTAACAATTGACATTTATTGCACCTCATTATTTAAACAAACACAAATTAAAGGACGGCAGTCGTCGCGCCGCGTTCTGTTCGATATGGGACTCATAGCGACGTATACAACGCGTGTAAAATACATTATTTATTTACATGAAATAAGAACACGCGCTTTAAAGACATCATTTGCAGCATGGTTCAACAACAATTATCTTTTAAAGCGGGAGAGTCGTCACCTGTGCATGCGTCAGATGTCCATAGCGTGTCATTGTTTACAAACAAGCGTCTACCCATGAGACTTTGCGTTTTTAGCGTGTGTTGTTATTGTCAATTGGTACTCAATTCCCACGCGTGCGCAGGAGATGACCCTCCGCTTTAAATAGCAGCGTCAAACGAAGGATGCTTCTTTAAATGAGGACAATTTGACATTTGTTAAGTTCACTGTATATGTTATTGCTGTTACTAATAAATAAATTAGATATAAAATATGTAAACCGCTTTTCTGAGAGCACTGTAGATATGTTTAGATTATAATTATTTAGTACACAAAACACTGAAATGAACAAGAATGTACGCCATGAACTAGTAATAAATGTGACGTAGTGTATAGATGCGACAACCCATTAAAATTAATGCATTTGTTAATTGGACGATAATTTATCTATGAGGTCCATTAATCAATTAGCCATTTGGAATTTATTGAATTGTATAATTATAAAACTTTATAACGACCACGCTTTTTGGTCATGCATCTTACGCGCTATCTAACTTCTAATTTCTTCCTATTTAAGCCCAGCAGCCTAACCCGGTCTAGCCAATATAACCGCCTCGCTTGGATTTAGATGAGATTAACTGCAAATAAAAACAGGTGGATTAATTAATAAAAAAATGAATATACTAATAAACATTTTAGAGAAACAAGAATCGTCTCAGCTAAAGCAAGATAATTTATTTCTGAAAACGAAAATGTTTCACAGAATTTACGACTGACAGTCGATCACATTACTCGGATGAATTCAGAATTATTCTCGACTTAAAACAAAATGTGCCCGCACTCCGTTAGCCTACATCAGAGTATAGCCAGAGAAGAGTTTTGTCATTGTGAATGAAATACGTATACTAAACAAGAAGTTTGGAAAGTACGTAATGTTGGAGGCTCGCTCGCACAAAATGGTAATACAGTCAAATAGTTATCCTACAAATTTACAGATGGCAGGCCTAATGGTTAAACAGTAAACAATCAAGAGACCGATGTCCATCTCAGACTAGTCCTTTTTTTGTCGAATTTGAGTTAAAGCGGTGGTCGTCCCGCAGCGCGTGCTCAAATTTCACGTAAATAAACAATGTATTTTACACGCGTTGTATACGTCACTATAAGTCCCATATCGAACAGGACGCGGCACGACTACTGCCGCCCTTTAACCTCCTGCTTAACCAGACTCTGTTAAAATGGATAAATGGCATCACATCTGACGTATATATCTAACGATAATTGCATGCAATCCTGTGAAGTGCTGTTTATTCAGGCAGAAGGACACTGGATATGAATAAACCCTTATAAGTAGCAATTTAAAATCCAATTCTACGAGAAATGGAAATAGTACTCAACACAGTTCTCCAGCGTTCAGAAACACGATTTCTCGGAGTTGCTCAAGACGGTTATATAGTTCTGCGATTTAGAGGGCGCTGTTAAGCAGACTGTTTATTGGAGCGCCATCTTGTGATCGTTTACTAATTGAAATCACAGATGATCTACAGGTATGTTCATTTCAAGATATATCCATGTTATAAAACAATAACACAGTACACTTTATATTGACTATGTAGCAGGAGAGGTATTTAGGAAAGTGCAAAGCACATGTTATTACGGATAACACAATAGGTGAATTTGATTGTCGCCATTAGGTGGTTTATTGTAATTGTGGGTTATTTTTTTTTATATTTAAAGTAATTTTATTAGACTAGCCCTAGTTAGATATGTTTCACATTAAATATTGATTTTGTAATATGGTTATATTTTATCATCCAACAGAGAAAACCCAATCATTAGCTCTATTTTAAGACACATTTTTTCAATAGATTCAGATGTGCAATTGCACATGCGAGATACACTCTTTACAAAAATAACCCAGTTTGAAAACAATTTTGCCCACGATGAATATAAGGACCCCAGAAATTCGTTGCATAGCTGCTCTGGGCCAATGCGCAGATTTGATTAGTTTTTGGTAAAAATCTGTGCATATTAATCACCTAATTTGCACAATGATTAGTAAATTTCCAGCTTTTCCACTGATATCTCAAGTACTAACCATCCCCTTACAATGAAACTTGGTACATAGATGTCATAGGACAATGCACATACCTTATTAGTTTTACATTAAAATCTATGAATATTAATTACCTGATTTGCATAATACTTAGTCAGTTTTCCTCTTTTCCATCAGTATCTCAAGTATTCATCATATTATTTCAATGAATCTAAGTACATAAATACTCTAAGATATTGCAACAATCTAATGTTTTGGATTTATATACATCCATAGTAATCACGTAATTTGCATAATGTATTTCGCCAAAGCATTTTCACTGGTTTCTCGTGTACTATTCAACAGATTTCAATGAAACTTAGTACATAGATGCTCCAGGAAAATGTGCAAAGCCGTTTAGTTTTTGGTTGAGATCAATATGATATGACTAATGTTTCAGATTATTATATATGGTCATGTGACCTCAATAATAGGCATAACAGTAATATCTTGAGTACTGTTGAAGATATCTCAGACAAGATATACAACCACAATATATGGTGACCAAAAGTTGATTCCTTTTTGTAATAAAACACCGCTCCGCAATTCGTATGAAAGATCAAAAACAAAAACAAAACTAGAGAGGATGCTTCAGTAATCTGGATTTTGCATCAAGCTCAGTGCATTTACAAAATGGGTCTGTGTTCATGCATGGAGCTAAAAAATGGTTCATGAAACAGTTTCATGATTTAAGTGATTTAGCCAAGTGATTTAAGATTTTTGATCAATATGTTTATTACATTTTCTTAATTCCAGAGTTATTCAATAAATATAGGACACCCAAAAAGAGATTGCGTTATGTATTCGTTATTTCAGTTGGTCCACAAGCCAAGAGATGTTTCAAATATGCAAGCAACTTTTGCTTTGTGCAAGGTATGCAATATTGAGATAAGAACTCTGGTCAGTAACGAGACTGAAAGCTTGTGGTAATCTGGTACCCTACTTAAAGTGGTCTCAGTTGGCATACAAGTCTGGTTTAAGGTAGCGAGACTATTATTTGTGTTGAAAATTACGATTTTCACATTTATTTATTAATTGATGAAATGCACTATAAACTTTCATGTGATAAAGTCAACATAACATAGAATGTCATGCAAGTTGGTTAAAATGTAGATTTTCTGAAGGGAAGCAAGGCAGCCTCAGTAGTGTTTTCCAAAATCAACAACACAGGTTTAATCTGTGTGCCTATAAATTCCAAAGATAAACTCAAGACAAAGCAATGTTAGGATGTGTTATCAGTAGCTATCTGACACACAATGAGTGTTTCCAAACATTTGAGTGGTTTGTCTCCGCCCCTGTTTGTTTCACAGATTAGTCATTTGCATATGAATGTTTCAGACACAAGGTCACACAGCCACTGAAAAAAAATCATTGATTTTGGTGTTTTCATATGCCGAATTTATCCAATTATAGCTATCCCATTCCTTTATATTTTTTGGTTTCCAATAGCCTTACACATTTGGATGTCCCTACA